TTTTTCAACATAACTTTTGAAAATGTTCCGGAAGGTCTGACACTTTTATATATATCTTAAATTAAAGCTAATGTAATATACTTTAATTTGAAAAAAAAAAATTTGACCTCTGGACTTGTCTTCACGGCGAAAATGGCTACCGAATGCTATTTTCGTGTGAAAATTCTCGATTTTATTATTTATATAATATTTAACTTTATAATGCTATAACTTATTGAAAAGTTATGGATCCACACAATTTTTTTATGAGAAATAATATTTTTTAATAATCCCTTTTTCATTCGACATACTTTATCTTAATTAGGATATTAATAAGGAACCAGCAGATCAAGTAGCTTTTGGAATAAAACACCAATTTTTTTAAAATTAAGCACTATCTAAAGATTTGCATCGAAGCGTTTATTTTTGATAGTGATTTTAATCACTGTCAGATATCATTATACTATATCCAACTATACCACGTCACAACTGTGCGACCCCCCTGTGCTGGGTTTTTTTAATATATTGTGGTTCACCGAATCATATGCATTTCGTACATTTGTATGAATGTCATGTATTTGGCTGTTATATTCACTTCTTGAAGTATATTAGTAAAATATACAAGAAGATTTTTTGTTTTACGGCATACCATTATAGCTAATTAAAATATAATAAATTAGTTCACTTTATATGTATTTATTTGGTAAAAGTGTACAGAATGCAAACAATCCAAAACATAATCGAAAATTAAAATTATAAAAAAATTGACATGTGTAGGTGGTCTCATTCAAAACCTTCTCGATTTCAAGTTTTCTATTGTAGTTTCATGAATATCATATAAATAGAAAGCTTATTTGTTGCTAATATGCGGGTAACAAATTTATACAAATTCATATTTTTAATTTAAAGTTATGATAATTTTAAAATGCAAAAAAAAATTATGATTTTTTTCCACTTTTAGTGGTTGCCAAATTATAAATTACTTCTCTGAATTCTAACAATTAGAGGGATTTTTTTGGTTTTTTGTTTTGCTATATGCAAATCGGGTTATTTTGACATATATAGATCACCCAAATGGACCCAGTATAATCGGAGTATTTATAAGAATATAACGAAAAAAAAACCAGCACAGTAAATTCGTATCATTGCTGGCACATATATAGATGATATCTGACAATGATTAAAATTACTATTATAAAAAACGCTTAATGCAAATCTGCAATTTTAATTTTAAAAAATTGGTAAAATATTCCAAAAGCTACATGATCTACTATTTCCTTATTTATATTCTTATAAAGTTTTATGATTTATAAGTGTAATTTATGAATTTATATAAATTTATGTAATATTATATTATCACTGGTAATATGAGGTCAATGGAAGATCTGTTAGAGCTGGCTAGCGACTTGGACGTCGAGGACCTTTCTCCCGAACGGCGGCCCGGAGAAAAGAAGTATTCCGCGGAAAGGAATAGCTTCAAATGGGCAAATAAGAAACCGCCACCGGAGAAAGAGGTTATTAGACCGGAAAAAAGCCCGTCCGGAGCGGCACGTTGTAAAAACTGCAACCGGACTGGGACCTGGTGGGCGAATTGCCCGGAAAGAAAAACGGCGAGTACGGGAAACGGGAAGTTTCAGAAATACAGGAGAGTAGTGCAAAACGTCCTGACCAAGGAACACAAGCAGCTCTCTCCGAGAACAGTTTGCCGAACAAATCTTTGGAAGACCTGGAACAAGACCAGTTAACACATGAGCTGTTAACGGTTCCACAGTCTTTCCCGTTAAAACTTCCGAAGGGGTTGACTCCTATCACTGGTATCGCCTAATGACGAATTGTTCCACTACAAGCACAAAAGTAGTTCATTATTTATACGAAAAACAAAATTAAATACATCATTGTAAATTTAATCTCTTCTCAACTTTGATAGAAGGAAAAATGTATTTAATTTAAATTTAAAAACCGTATGTGTGCATTTTGTGTAAATCTTGGGGCAGTTAAAATTTTTATTAATGACTATAATTGAGCTTTTTCCTTAGAAATAATCGTAAAATTAGTTAAAACAGTATATATAGGGGTGGTAATTTATAAATAGAGGTATTTAGAAACTTTTAATTTCACCAAATATGCGTTATACATTTGTTAATGGACCTTTTATTTATTGTCCAATGATTTTTCACTACTGCTATTATGATAACCCTTTTAGAGAAAATATCTATAATATATATTCATATGTAATAATTTTACTAAAATAACTGGTCCTATTACTGAACACTCCCAATAAGCAATTTAAAACAATTGCAAGTGTTAATTTAAATTTATTTAAAATTATTTTCAAGAAATTTGTCATCGTTTTGGTAAAATATTCGAAAATATTTTCAAAAAGAGATCGCAAACACTATTATATCTTTTAAAACCCAATAAATCCATTTTGTACCAAATTTTAATTTAGATCTGCCCTTTAAAATTAAAAATTTCAAAAATATTTAATGATTTATAATATACTTGGTTAAAATTTCAATTATTATATTCAAATTTAGATATATATTACATCAATTTAATTCTAATTTTAAAATTATAATTTGTATTTATGATAAATACAGTGACATATTTTTTTATTTTATCAGATTTAAAATTAATTTATTGTAAATTATTATGTTTAAAGTAATTTAAATTATGTTTTCCTGACAGAGAATGTTGAATTATTATTTAAATTGTTAAAAATATAATGTTAAAATTGTGATAGAACATTTCTTATTTTTTTTCTATCTTATAAATAATGATATATTTAGCAATAGCTAACATTAAAAAATGTGTTTTTTACTTAATAATAGTATTATTTTTTATAATCTATTAGTATTATGATGTAAATACCAACTAATATAAAAAATTAACGAAAAACATTTTAATGATAAATTATATAGTTAGTTAAATACTAAATTAATATTTATGAATTTTTTTAAATGGTTGGTATATTTTTACTACATTATATATTTTTTTAGAATAAGTAAATAAAATCTACCTTCTATAACATGTGATTAATTATTATTAATGTGCGGCATATTTTTAAATGTTAATTAAGTTTGAGTTATACAAAAATTATTAAAAATACTGTCAATTTAAATATACATTTTTTGCCACATTTTAGATTTCTCAAAATAGACTATATTGTTATATATAAACGGAATTAATTAAATAATAAAACTATATTTCACGTTTACTTTATATTGCTAGTAATAGACTTTCATTACTGTTGCTATTATAATCATCATTAAATATGCGTTTCTATTTTAGTTTTGGAATTTTACTTTGTTTTATTTGTTTAATTGCCATACCAATGTTTTCATTCGGAATGCCCTACTCAGATGAGGAAATTAATATCGTTGAAGTAAAATAAGTTTTTATTTATTAAAAATTATTCAATTTAATTTTTGGATATGTTTCTTAGAATTAAACTCTATATACAGATTTGCATCGAAGTGTTTCTTATGTAGTAATTTTTATCACAATCAGATATCACTTATACTTGTTCAAACTATGTGATTTTAATTTTAAGTCCCATCACACTATGCTATGGTTTTTTTATCGGTATAAATATATATGAAATTAAAGCTTATGTTACGTACTATAACTAAAAAAATTCATCTACTATGTGCAAATGGCCATTGAAGTTGAATATAGAATGTAATTTCCATTTAAAAAATCAACTTCTCTAGTTATATTATTTTGGTACTTAAAACTGCTTTAGCTTTTTGATAAATAAACGTGCCAAATTTTTTTATTTTATTTATAAAACTCTTATACTTATCTCTTTTATTTGATATCATTTTTTTTTTGATAATCTGACTCTTTACTTTTCATATATTATACATATAAATAAAAAAATACCAATCAAAAATAATAAATTATTTAAAAGTGGAACTTGGGGGTGCTTAAAGTAAAGTTGAGGGTGCTTCAGCACCCTCTAGCCCCCCCGTAGCCACTGTTGTTACATCAACTCTTATTTCTTTAATTATATCCTGATTTGTAGTTCTTTGATTTTAAAATATAATATATGAATAAATACTAATTATAGTTTTTAAATTTAGTATGAAATTGTGAGGCCAGCTATGATGTATGGTTCATAGTGTTGGGCGGTTGATAAGAAAGTAGAGCAGAGAATAAGTGTAGCAGAGATGAGAATGCTTAGTTGAATGAGTGGAGTGACTAGAGAAGATAGGATAAGGAACGAGCATATAAGAGGAAGTATAGGTGTTGCGTCAATCGTGGATAAGATGACAGAAAATAGACTTAGATNCACAAAGTACAGGAATTGCGTCATTCGTGGATAATATGACAGAAAATGGACTTAGATTGTTTAGTCATGTTATGAGGAGAGAAGAATTGGAAGCTGTAAGAACATTTATTAAAAATGAATGTTGAAGGAAGAAGAGGAATAGAGGAAGACCAAAAAAGAGATGGATGGATGCTATTGAATGCGATTTGAGGACAGCTGATGTGAGCGTAGAATATGTGGGAGATCGTGTCAAATGGAAGTTTAGGATAAGGGTAGCCGACTCCATGTAGTTGGGATTAAGGCAAAGAAAAAGAAAAAGAAAAAGAAAAAGATTACCAGAAATTCCGGTGGCAATTGACATAATATAGTTGTTGTTTGGGAATGTACAATTCAGCGTTTAGTTGAGTTTAAACAATATAGCGTCAAATTATTTACCTACTCTATCGGTTGTATATTAATATACACTGCAATTTAATGTTACAATAAATAAATAAACTCAAACATACACACATATGCATTTATAACATTGTGTCTAATGTAAGCATAACATGATAAAAAATAACTGTAAAATGAAAAAAAAATGGAAAATAAATTTTTTGTTTATAGTTGTCTTTTAAACAACTTTCGTACGAAACTTTTTTTTGTAAGTTAAATATTTAATAGAAAATTTGTAATATTATAGTATAGTTTTAGCACACACAAATAGAGTAAAAAATTATTAAATTACAAAGTAAAATGATTTAATTTTGTAGTTAAAATCTATCATATCAAACTTAATTCGTTAATAAATACTTTGAAAAAATTAAAAATGAATGATTTTAATTGTTTGTATGGAGAACATAGTATAAGTAACTGTTTAATTGATAAATTAGAATTTTTTTTCAATTTTTGAGGGCAATATCTTCAACTAGATACGAATTGTAGTCAATGGCGTATCGTTGAAAAAAGTAAGTCATGTTAGAGCAGAGAAAATAAATGAGTCACAAATAAATATCTTCTCAGCTTTGCAACGAAGCTAAAGCATAACACATAGTAAAATAATTTTAATATGAATAAGAAATTTCTTCTCGCAAATGGCGATTACAGTGACAAATGAGATAAAAATCAAAGCAGTTGAAAATTTATTCTAACTTAAAAAAATGAAGAAAAAATGCAAAAAAATTGATAACTATACGCGGGTTGGAACCCTGTACCCATAACGTGTAAAACACAAGTTTTATCAACTCGGTATTCGCACGTCGTTAAGGTCGGTTAAAAAAATTTAAGCTAGTTCAAATATCAAAATTGTTTCTATAGACTTCAAAAAGTAAAAAAAATTAAGAAGTTTAACTTTCTGTGCTATAACAATTTTTTATTTATATAATATTTATGAAAATCTGTAATCCAATCGTCAGGTATTTTAAAATAAAATAAAATACAAAACCCAGAATTTTACACACAAAAATAACATATTTTTGAATACGGTATTCATTTTTACCATGATGACAAATCCAGAGGTCAAATTTTTTTTTTTTAAATTAAAGTATATTACATAAGCTATAATTTAAGATATTTATAAAAGTGTCAGTATTTTCGGAATACTATCTAAAATTAAATTGAAAATGTTCTAGTTTCAATAAGCATGTTTAAAGTTTTGACCCCATTGTATAAAGGGGTATAATCGGATTTACAAAAAAATTGTGTCAGATGAAAGGAGTATAGAAAAATTTATTATAAAAAATAATAATATTGATCCATTAATTTTTCCAAAAGTTATATAAAATATAAATTAATTAATATTTTAGCTTTCGATAGTCGAAGACATTACCCTCAAAAATTGAAAAAAATTCCCTCGTTCCCCGTAAACGGGGGAAATCCCCCAAAAAATTACAAATTTAAAAATCGCTAATTTTCGATATTTTTTCAATTTTTTTTACTTAANAAAAATCGCTAATTTTCGACATTTTTTCAATTTTTTTTACTAACAACTGCCGTAACTTTTTCAAAAATGAACATATCAATATAATTTTTTTTTTATAGATGCTTAATGTCTTTACCTATCATTTGGTATATTTTTTTTGTAAATTTGACCCTTTATCTGCCCATAGGGGGGGTTTTAAAATGACAACTTTTTGACAAAAAATATTGACCTCTGGACTTGCCTTCATGGTAAAAATGACTACCGTATTCAAAAATTTGCTATTTTTGTGTTAAAATTCTGAATTTTGTATTTTATTTTATTTTAAAATAACTGACAAGGGGAGTACAGATTTTAATAAATATTATATAAATTAAAATTAATATAGCATAGAAAGTTAAACTTATTTAAATTTGTTTACTTCTTTTAAGTCGAGAAAAATAACTTTGTAATTTGAACTAGCTTAAATAGCCAATTTTTTCACCCGACGGTAGCAACGTACAGTTGCCGAGTTATTAAAATTTATGTTTTACACGCTTGGGTACGAGATTCCAACCCGCGTATTGCAAGAAAATATTTTGCATTTTTTCTTAATTTTTTTTAAGTTAGAATAAATTTTTAACTCGTTTGATTTTTATCTCATTTAGATTTAATAACTTTAATAGAGATCAAGGATTCCATCACTTTAGTCGCCCCACGCGAGAAGAAATTTCTTATTCATATTAATATTATTTTACTATATTTTATATTTTAGCTTCGATGCAATTCTGAGAAGGTATTTTTTTGTAACTATCATTTATTTTCTCTGCTATAACTTGACCTATATTTTTCAAAGATACGTCAAATGAATACAATTAGTTAATGATATTACCCTCAAAAATTGAAAAAATATTCTAATTTATCAATTAAACAGTTACTTATCCCATGTTCTCCATACAGACAATTAAATTCATTTATTTTTAAATTTGTAATTTTTTGGGGAATTTCCCTCGTTTAAGGGGAACGAGGAATTTTTTTTCAATTTTTGGGGATAATGTCTTCAACTAGATACGATTTGTGATCTTTTGCCATATTTTTTATCAAAATCGGTTCAGAGAGAACTGAGATTGAGCGTATACAGACACACACAAAAAAAAAAATACACATCATAGTAAAATTAATACCTTCTCAGCTTCGTATCGAAGCTAAAATACATTTTTATATTAATAAAATAATATAAAAATTTTCTTCCAAATAAAAAATATCATATGCCTTCATCATAATAAATCTGAAAAGGAATTTTGAAATTCATTAAAACATAATCAAAAAGAAGTATTATGAAAAATAAAGTTGTAAGGGGTGTATTTAAAAAATACTGCATGACTGATAAATTGAGAAAAACATGTAACTAAAATAAACCAATAAAAAACTATTAATAATATTTTTATTTTACGATTAATTAAGTTATTAATGATAAAAGAATAAACACCTATTACTCCATTACAATAAATTAATTAGCCTTAATTAATTAGACACTTTAAATTCATTCACCAAAATTAGTGTTTAACTTTAATAAACTACTCTTTTTATAAATACCGAGTACAATTATTTTATCGAATGTCCAACCTCAAAAAAATCACTTAGTAGAAACTTTAAATTCATTTTTTAATTTTTATTTTATGTATAATTATTTTTTTTTTTTAAATTTTTATATAACATTTAATAACATGGTATCGAATTTTTTAGGAAGAGTATCCTATATCAAATTATTATAAAACTAAAATATCATATAGTTTAACTCATGATGATAGTATTGCTGTCCTTATTTCACTTCTAGAAGATAAGATGAAGGGGTGTAATCTATCAGGTAATTGAGATATAATTTTTAAAATCTTGTGTCTATATACTATATAAAAATTGACCTTAATGAGTACCTAGAATATTTGAATACTTGTTAATACAACATTTTTAATTAGTTTTTCGCGTGATACACCAACCACCTGTTATGGAGAATCAATGGTTAAAAACAGCTCCCTTTGTGGTCGCTGTGACTCTTAAAAAGCGATTAACATAAAAAAATATACAAGTAGGGAAATATTGGGGATTCTAGAACCCCCGCCTCACCCCTACACACACCCAATTATTTTGTGGGTGGGCGTGGTCTGGGGGAGGGGCGTGGTCTCTATCGTGGGTGTAATGACCGTTGTCAAGGTCATATAGCGGACGTGGTTTCTCGATGGTGGGGGTAAGGAGGAGGCGTGGTCATATCATAGAGAAGGAAAAGGGAAGTTTGGTCTTATGATGGTGAGGGTAAGGAGGAGGCGTAATAACACGACGGTGGAGATAATAGGTGACTTAGGTGGGGATGTTAAGATCAATCAAAATGGCGGTTTAAAGTGCGTATGCGCACATAACTTCATGTCAGCGGTGGGGAGGTAGCCATTCGAATATGGTTGTTCTCTTCCTATGATGCTATCTACTGAAGGGTAAGATAAACCTCATGTTAACTGATAAACGTACTAGCTATAACATCTACTAGATATATTGAAATAGTGTACGTCATATAGTGGCCGCCGCTGTCACTATAACATATTTACTTAATATTAACGCAGCAGGGGTGTCCGTCAACAATTCCTACAGAGGGAGGGGGTAATGAAACATAACATAACTAACCTGTAATGGGTGGGGATGAATCCAAATTAAACTAACAACGTTTTCTATGAATATTATCCATTTCCTACCAGACGCTTAGGTAAGCATATTTCCGACATCAAATGTATTACTATATATATAACGCTCATAGGCGTCAGCATTTTATGAAAACAATGTCAACGTCTGTCGTTATGGCATTATAATTTCTAAGAATTTTATCATCGGCTACCAGACGCATAGCTAAGCATATTTCCAACATCAAAGGTACCGCTATATTATAACGTCTGCATTTTTTTATTTTTTACATAGTATTTTATCATTGCCTACCAGATGCTTAGAAAAGCATCTCGTTAATATTAGTATATTACTATTAATTATATATATATAATTGATATAATTTCTATAATTGGTAATATATTTTTAGAATTAACTATGTTTGTCGTTATTGGTTGCTATAATANTATATATAATTGATATAATTTCTATAATTGGTAATATATTTTTAGAATTAACTATGTTTGTCGTTATTGGTTGCTATAATAGTATAATCGCTGTTATACTGCGCCTTTAAAATAATAATATATGTATTGCATTTTATTATATTATATTTAATTTGACAATTTTTTATACCTATAAATAGAGGTATTACATTTAAAGTCGCTCCCCCAGCACCAGCACCCCCGAGTCTTCACTGCGTTTATCATTTAATGTATACATTACATTGAAATAGTGTACGTCAAGTAGCGGCCGTCGCCACCACACTTGACTATTCCTTGGAAGATTTGTAACAAACTCTATTAAGACAATTGGGTGTAAGGTGCGCACAATGTGTGAAACCCAATGAAAACTAACCTAGTCGGGGAAGGGGAATTTCCTCAACATGTCGTAATGAGCGAAGGGGTAATAAAACTTAACTTAAACTAATCTGTGACAATATATTAATGGTCACTGTCGTATGCATTTTATGAGAAAAATGGCAACATTGTCTTTTTTCACGCCTACGCGATTTATGAGAACTATTGCTATCATCGTTTACCAGACGCTTAGATAAGCATATTTCAAACATCGTTTGTATAGTATCTGGACCTGTTTAAACCAACCCAAACTTGTCTAAACAAGATCTTTGTCCCCTATAAAAGAACGTCACATCAATTTCAGACTCCTTCACTCATTATCTTTTCTAAAGCGATTATATCAAAAACCATTTGTCTGATTATTTCTATGACTGTCCTGAAGAATTTCTATGACTTTTGATATAAAATAAAGTAATAAAGCATACAAATATCGACTTAACACATTACCAACAAGTTAAAGCAACGTCTATTTATATATAAAATCTTATAACGATTATAGCGCTATGCATACACCACGGTGATGTTATTAACTAATTTAAACCCAATAGCAATTAATAGTCTAATTTTCGCCGATAGATATGTTACAAACAATTGTAAACACAGACAGACGGAGTTCAAACAGGATGAACAGGGATTTGAACATATTCAGACTTGTTTAATCGAGATTATAAGAATCCAGGATACACTGTTCGGTAAACCGACACAGTGTCCCTACTACTTTTATATACAGCCTACTACATACCATGCATAGTACAACCTACTACAATTATTATAGCGTATACTAAATTTGCTGTATATATTTAATGTGTAAAACTCTTCTTTGTACTGCTTAATACTACAGACTTATATTTAATATT